TTCGTATATACCTTCTTTTCCTGTATTTATATACCTCGTGTCTGTCCTCATTTGTGATATCTTTTTCGCGTTCGTTATATAGTTTGACTCTATGTTATCTTGATCATTATTTACTGCTATTATATCGTATTTATTTATAAAATAATATCTGTGTTGAATGCAATACTGTTCACTGATAAATTTGCAGGCAGGATAACATATTTTTGTTCAATAACATTCTAACAATAGAGTGAATATTTTTCCACAAATGTTTTTTCAACGTGAAGAAGATATTTTCCGCTCTGAATATTGTCTCGTCACCAGCTGCTCTATGGATGTTTTCTCGTCACCAGCTGGTCTCTGGATGTTCCCTCGTCACCAGCTGGTCTCTGGATGTTCCCTCGTCACTTTATGGATGTTGTCTCGCTACCAGCCACACACACACAAATACACACACACACACACACACACACACACACACACACACACACACACACACACACACACACACACACACACACACACATGCAAAAATGAAATCGGAAATTCCAGAGGAAATTAATCAAGGAATCTAATAGGGTAGAAGCTCACCCCAAAAGTCTCTGGGGGAACTGGGAAGCACAAATCTCGAGGCGATTTATGAGCGCAAGTCTGGCTTCTCTCGGCGCCTTGGTGAGCCTGCCAGGAACCTGACCTGCCAGGAACCCGACCTGCCAGGAACCTGACCTGCCAGGAACCCGACCTGCCAGGAACCCGACCTGCCAGGAACCCGACCTGCCAGGAACCCCACCTGCCAGGAACCCCACCTGCCAGGAACCCGACCTGCCAGGAACCCCACCTGCCAGGAACCCCACCTGCCAGGAACCCGACCTGCCTGAAACGGACCTTCTTGTCAATATTTTGATATATTTCAAACCCAATAATATCCCCTTTCATCCATTTATGTCCTTCAGTCATGTCATCGCCTTTTTCTCCGCCTGATGGGAATCTAAATTAGCTTTCCTGAGTCTCTCTTCATGGGGGCAGTGTTCTCTTTCCTGGGATTACCTTTGGCGCTCTTCCCTGTACCCGTTCAAGTGAATTAATTTCCGTTGTGTAGTACGACGAAAACTAGACTGTATAGTGTAAAGAGGGAACTTAAAAGACCAAGATATAGTGAATAATATTAGGAGTTTTGGTTCGGTTTTGGCCTTAAGACCTACCAATCTTGGTCTTAAGATCCTCCACGGTCTAAATCACCATCATCACCAGTCCTATTAGGTTCCAATATTGCTTCGTAAGATGTCAATTACTCTGTTTTTATTTTTCATACGGTTAGCTTGGAGGAAAATAGCCGACAGGAAATCACAGGGATTTTATTATAATTATTTATAAGAAAATTAGCAAGTCACCAATACATAAGTTGAACAGCCAGGCTGTTACCTTTGCTGTTGTGTTTGTGCTTTCACCTCTAACAACAACAACAACTTGCCACAATCTTTACTGATAACGGCGAAAGTTAAATCTTATCTTACAACATTCTTTTAGTGTTTTTGTTGATCAGACATCGAATTCCTTTATCTGGTTCCCATACCCTAATTGTATGGTTTCACCTGTAGTGTATGGTTATCCCTAATTGTATGGTTACCCCTGAACTGTATGGTTACCCCTAAATTGTATGGTTACCCCGAAACTCTATGGTTACCCCTAAACTGTATGGTTACCACTAATTTTATGGTTACCCCTAAACTGTATGGTTACCCCTAAACTGTATGGTTACCCCTAATTGTATAGTTACCCCTAAACTGTATGGTTACCCCTAAACTGTATGGTTACCCCTAATTGTATGGTTACCCCTAAACTATATGGTTACCCCTAAACTGTATGGTTACCCCTAATTGTATGGTTACCCCTAAATTGTATGGTTACCCCTAAACTGTATGGTTAACCCTAATTGTATGGTTACCCCTAAATTGTATGGTTACCCCTAAACTGTATGGTTACCCCTAATTGTATGGTTACCCCTAAACTGTATGGTTACCCCTAAACTGTATGGTTACCTCTAAACTGTATGGTTACACCTAAACTGTATGGTTACTCCTGAACTGTATGGTTACTCCTGAACTGTATGGTTACACCTAAACTGTATGGTTACCCCTAAACTGTATGGTTACACCTAAACTGTATGGTTACTCCTGAACTGTATGGTTACACCTAAACTGTATGGTTACCCCTAAACTGTATGGTTACCCCTAAACTGTATGGTTACCCGTAAACTGTATGGTTACCCCTAAACTGTATGGTTACCCGTAAACTGTATGGTTACCCCTAAACTGTATGGTTACCCCTAAACTGTATGGTTACCCCTAAACTGTATGGTTACCCCTAAACTGTATGGTTACCCGTAAACTGTATGGTTACCCGTAAACTGTATGGTTACCCCTAAACTGTATGGTTACCCCTAAACTGTATGGTTACCCCTAAACTGTATGGTTACCCCTAAACTGTATGGTTACCCCTAAACTGTATGGTTACCCCTGAACTGTATGGTTACCCCCGAACTGTATGGCTACCCCTGAACTGTATGGTTACCCCTGAACTGTATGGTTACCCCTAAACTGTATGGTTACCTCTGGTAGCGACACTCATGATAACCCCCCCCCCCCCTCGACCCCGCCCCCTTTCTAATACCATGTGCCTGTAACTTTCTAATGAGTATATGGTTAGTTATAATAATTATTACAGTAGCCATAAGCACTGTAAATTAATACCACAATTATTAGTCATTGTAAGTAATATTGGTGGCAACCTGTATTAAAGTCATCCTTACGGCCTTTGTAAACCAGTTACCATAGAGCGCCAGAGGGAAGGAGAAGCAAGAGAAGCAAGAGTCTCTTCTCCTGTAGAGACTCTTCTCTACAGGAGCAAGAGTCCTCCTGTAGAGGGCGGCGACGGAGCCCCAGAGCGTCGCTCGCGTCCCAAAATGAGTTACGAGGCGGTTCCCCCTGGCGAGGTCCTCAGTAGCTGGCGGAGGTGCGCGCGGGGCGGGCCGGTTGGCGGAGGAGGCGGACGGATCACCTCGTTAGACAACCCGTAGGTGGTGAGGTAGAGGCTGGTGACCTCCTTCAGGAGGCGGCGGCGGCAGGTCTACTCACCTGGCGGCAGGTTGACTCACCTGGCGGCATCACGGTGGCGGGAGAAGCGGTGGTTATGGGATACTGCCACCGCTGGTAGCAGTGGAGGACTGCACTTGGCAGAGGGCCAGACGCCAGCTTCCGTCCCCCCTCTCCCCTCCTACCTATCCTCCCTCCCTTCTACCCTCCTACCGTCCCTCCCTCCCGCCTCACTTGTTCCCCCACGCCACCTGGGCGCGCATGCGACCGCCTCCTAACTTTTTTCTTTGTGATCAGAGGAACTATTCCTTCAGGAGCGAGTGCTAGTGTTGCCTTCTGCTGGCGCGGCTCCTGCTGGTGTGGCTCCTGTGGAGTGTGTGCCGTGTGCGGTACCTGCGGCGTGTGCGGTACCTGCGGCACTTGCGGCACGTCCTCTGCGTCGCCGTGATGTGAGCAGAGGGCGCGAGGTGGCGGGTGAAATGTGTTGGTGTCACGTTCCTCCCGCTGGGGTCGCTGACGAACACTGTTGTGCAGTGCACTCCACGCCGCCGTGACCTGCACCACCTGTCCCCTGCACCACCTGTCACCCTGCACCACCTGTCCCCTGCACCACCTGTCACCCTGCACCACCTGTCCCCTGCACCACCTATCACCCTGTACCACCTGTCACCCTGCACCACCTGTGTCCTGCACCACCTGTCCCCTGCACCACCTGTCCACTGCACCTCCTGTCACCCTGCACTACCTGTCACCCTGCACCACCTGTCTCCTGCACCACCTGTCACCCTGCACCACCTGACTCCCTGCACCACCTGTCACCCTGCACCACCTGTCACCCTGCACCACCTGACTCCCTGCACCACCTGTCACCCTGCACCACCTGTCACCCTGCACCATCTGTCCCCTGCACCACCTGACTCCCTGCACCACCTGTCACCCTGCACCACCTGACTCCCTGCACCACCTGTCACCCTGCACCACCTGTCACCCTGCACCACCTGACTCCCTGCACCGCCTGACTCCCTGCACCACCTGACTCCCTGCACCACCTGTCTCCTGCACCACCTGTCACCCTGCACCACCTGACTCCCTGCACCGCCTGACTCCCTGCACCACCTGACTCCCTGCACCACCTGTCACCCTGCACCACCTGACTCCCTGCACCACCTGTCACCCTGCACCACCTGTCACCCTGCACCACCTGACTCCCTGCACCACCTGACTCCCTGCACCACCTGACTCCCTGCACCACCTGTCTCCTGCACCACCTGTCACCCTGCACCACCTGTCACCCTGCACCACCTGTCACCCTGCACCGCCTGACTCCCTGCACCACCTGTCCCCTGCACCACCTGTCACCCCTGCACCACCTGTCACCCCTGCACCACCTGTCACCCTGCACCATCTGTCACCCTGCACCACCTGTCATCCTGCACCACCTGTCACCCTGCACCGCCTGACTCCCTGCACCACCTGTCCCCTACACCACCTGTCATCCTGCACCACCTGTCTCCTGCACCACCTGTCACCCTGCACCACCTGACTAGCTGTGTTAACTATTGCCTGTGTTAACTACCACCTGCTTTAACTACTCCCTTCGTAAACTGCCGCTCTGTTAACTACCCCCCCCCCCTGTGTAAACTACCATATGTTCTAACTACCAAATGTGCTAACTACAGCCTGTGATGAGGACCACCTGTGTTAACTACCCCCGTGTTATCCACCACCTTCGATAATAGAGGTGTTAACCACCCCCCCCCCATGTCAAGTACCACCTGTGTTAATTACAACCTGTGTTAACGACCGCTTGCATTAACGCGCACCCGTGTTAACGACCACCCGTGCTAATGATCACCGCCATGTTAACCACCACTAGTGTTAACTCACCCTGATACAACGGCCGTATTTAAGCCCTCTCGTCGCTACCGTTTAGAACCTTGGCTTAGTGACCCGCGTCCGCCTCCTCCTCTGTGTCGCCGGCGCGCCTTCGTCCTCCGTCGCTCCTGAAGGCGCTGCTCCTGAAGGCGCTGCTCCTGAAGGCGCTGCTCCTAGAGGCGCTGCTCCTGGAGGTGCTGCTCCTGAAGGCGCTGCTCCTGAAGGCGCTGCTCCTGGAGGCGCTGCTTCTGGAGGTGCTGCTCCTGAAGGCGCTGCTCCTGAAGGCGCTGCTCCTGGAGGCGCTGCTCCTGAAGGCGCTGCTCCTGAAGGCGCTGCTCCTAGAGGCGCTGCTCCTGGAGGTGCTGCTCCTGGAAGCGCTGCTCCTGGAGGCGCTGCTCCTAGAGGCACTGCTCCTGAAGGCGCTGCTCCTAGAGGCACTGCTCCTGAAGGCGCTGCTCCTGAAGGCGCTGCTCCTGGAGGCGCTGCTCCTGGAGGCGCTGCTCCTGAAGGCGCTGCTCCTGAAGGCGCTGCTCCTGAAGGCGCTGCTCCTGAAGGCGCTGCTCCTGGAGGCGCTGCTCCTGAAAGCGCTGCTCCTAAAGGCGCCGTTGCTGGAGGGCAGGTAGGGCACGTCTGTGTGACTCACTGACTGGGGACAGGCATCATGAGCCTTACTATGCTGGGTATTCCATATCTTTCTCCACCTTCTCTTATCTTCTCACTCCCTCTCTCCTCCTCTTATCTTCTCCCTCCCTCCCTCCTCCTCTTCTCCTTCCGTACACCGTTCCTCCCTGCCTCCCTTCTTCACATTAGATTATTTCAGGTGAAATTGGGCATAATGTGAACATCTTAATTTTTTTCTTGATCTTTTGTTTACATGTTCCTGTCTACACCTTCCCCCCCCCTCCCCTCCTCCCTCCATCCGGCCTGTACACGCTCTTGGTGCACACATCTTCATACACACACATGTATACTACACATGCACACGGCCCCTCATGCATACGCCTTTAATGTACACACACTCACACGTGAGAGCACCCGAGACCTCTCTCTCTCTCTCTCTCTCTCTCTCTCTCTCTCTCTCTCTCTCTCTCTCTCTCTCTCTCTCTCTCTCTCTCTCTCTCTCTCTCTCTCTCTCTCTCTCCCTCTCTTGCAAAAAAGAGTATATAGAAGGGCGACTAAACAAATGTCACCAGTCCAAAATGTTAACATTTATATTGAAACTCTGCACATACTTTTTTGTGAACTCTCCGTATACTCTAATCTTTGCGTATTCTTCATGTAACTCCTTGAGTACTTCCTGTGTACTCTTCGTGCACCCATGGCTACACTTCTTGCACTCTCTGTGTACTTTTGACCTGTGTCGAAATTCTGAACTACCATATGTACCATATGCCATATACTTCACTAAGAGTGTGAAGTAGTGGAGCAAGTCTTCGTTCACAACTCCAAATGTGGATGTATCGGAATCTAATTGGCTTGGAAACCTGTTCAATATTCGTTAGAATTCTGAGAGGTTTTGGATCATTTTGTTTAGAATTCTCAATATTCTGAGAAATTTGCCACTGTTTCAAAGAACTGACCGATGCTCAAACCAGCAAATTCAACTTGGTGTGTGTGCACAGAGATGGTTACAAAAATTAAACCTAAATTTATCATAGTTTCCCTGAAAATATAAAACGTTTTCTTTCATAAAGTACAGCTGCAGGAGGACCAAAGGAACTAACCGACGATTAATAACAATAACAACACATAAACAATAATAACTTTTACGTCATTGTTGTATATAAGAACACAGTTGTTCTTGAATAAAATCACAAACCGGATAACTGATAATGAAAGCCGGATGACCGCGGTGGCCCGGATATTTCAGGAATTCCTTCAGTGAGCATTTTTTGTTTATAAAAGTTACAAGAAATGACCTTGATTTAGATCGTGAAAATGTTAATTATTATTTTAATGATGGTTAGGGTGATTAAGACGCTGACAATAAAGATGAAGCCGCCGACGAAGTTGAATAATGATGAAGAACGTTGACAATGATGAAGATGATGAAAATGCTGAAAATAATGATAAAAACCCTGAAGATGATGGTAATAAAGACGCTGATGATGATAAAGACGGTACAGACGCTGATGATGAGTATAACTACGTCACTAGTACTCAGTTTAGGTAATAAATAAAAATGTATTACCTTTATTTATTTAGATAATAAATAATAATTAGATGAAGAAAGTACATACGACGATAAGAGATATTGCACACACACACACACACACACACACACACACACACACACACACACACACACACACACACACACACACACACATGGTAGTGGCTAATTTGGATCGTTCTCACAATCAGGAATCCCGGGTTCAAATCCCGGGGGAAGGGACAGAAATGGTTCATCTAATGCTCCGTGTTCATCTAGCAGTAAACAGGTACCCAGGAATTAGTCAGCTTGTTATAGGGTTGCATCCTGGGGACTTCTACATAAGGGGAAGGACCTCGATATAAGCCGAACATGTATATATGCACTGGCTGCCTGTCCCCGTCATAATGAATTATTATGTTGAAATTATCACTGCATAAATTTAGGATATCTGCGCCACAAACTGCCGTCGTACAGACAGAGGGAAACTGAATTAAGCCATCTGGAAATGATCACCAAAATCAACATTGTGATTTTTTCCTCCGTGGTGTTGACTTTGAGACCACCCAGCCACTGGTGTGGTCGTGAGTGGCGACCACCACCCAGCGACTGGTGTGGTCGTGAGTGGCGACCATCACCCAGCGACTGGTGTGCTTGGGAGAGACGACTACCACCCAGCGACTGGTGTCGTCGTGAGTGGCGACCATCACCCAGCGACTGGTGTGCTTGGGAGAGACGACCACCACCTAGCGACTGGTGTCGTCGTGAGTGGCGACCACCACCCAGCGATTGATGTGGTCGAGAGACAGGGCCAGTTGGAATCCCGTCATGGAATCTCTCGAGTAATGTTTTCTTCTGACCTAAACAATAGTGAAAAAAATAGGGATAGCGAAGCGGAAAACAGGGAGGAACGGGCTGATCGAGTGCGAAAAAAGGAAGATAGAAGTATAGAAAAATAGAAAATGGGGAAAGGAAGGAGAGCGGTGGAAAGAGGAAGGGGGGAGAGAGCTGGGAACTTGCGTCAACAGTCGCCTCAAGAAGGCAGTCACGTCTGGCCAAGGAGCCAGTTCAAGGAAATGTATTTTTGCACAAGTCTTTACCTACGCGATCAAAAGTCTCTTATCAAAAGCATGTGCGAGGAGCATCCCTGCTTTAACATCGTTTATTACCTATTTTTTAATGTCATTAAACGTGGGAGGTATTGAGTGACGTCAACGCTGCCTCTCCAGGTGACTCTAGGTGGCTTAGGCGAATACCTAGTGACCTAGAGGTACCCCGTTGTGACCTAGAGGGACCCCTGTTGTGACCTAGAGGCATCCTACAGTTACCTAGAGGGACACAATTTTAGCAATCACAGATTATTTAGGTTATATCAGGTGACTCCATATGATTGAGGCGATCTCAGGTGGTCTTCAGGTTCCCTCCGTTGACTCGCAGTGACAGATACGGCAGCCGGTTTCTACTCCAGATGATGTCAGGAGACTTCAAGCTACTTTTGATATCGGTTATCTACAGGTGTGTTGTGTACATCCAGCGATGCAGTTACATTACTGCCAGTTGGGAATGGACGTTCTCGCTTGCGTCACTCTCATTGTCTTTCTCATTCTCTCTCCTTTTCCTTTGTCTCTCGCCCCCCCACTCTCATTCTTGGCGACTACCTCTGCTTGCCCTCGTTCTCTCTCTCTTTTATCCTCTCTCTCTCCTTTTCACTCGTATGCTCTCCCTCTCACGCCCACTTTCTTAATATTGCTCTTATTATCTCTTTATCCTCTCTATCGCCCACTCTCTCACACCAACTCCCACACACTCTTTTATGCTCTTACTCTTTTCATTTACTCTCTCCCTCCTGCTCGCTCTCTCTCTCTCTGCCTCTCACCTTGTCTCTCAGAAAACCCAAGCCGCTTGCTTCCTTTTGTCACAATTGAAATGGATTGCAGAGCAATACTGTTGTCGTCGAAATGCAAATATATCTGAATTTCGCTGAAAGATATCAATACCTGAGACGCTCCAAATATAATCGCTGGGAACTTATAACCTCTAGGATTAGAAAAGGATTCTGTGCCGCTCAATCCGGATTCCTGCGAACGCAAACAAATGATGCAATTACGTTATGTTTTAATTAGTATAAGTCTCTGTTTTATTTGTAGCGAATCTGAAAGTTTATTATGTTTGACTTACTCTTAAAGGATAATAGTAACGGGTTAGATTATACAGTAAAAGAACTTAATAGTAATAAGTTATCAACATTAAGTCAGAATGCACTTTGGCGCCACGTAGGCTGCGCAGAAGGTGTTGTCGTTGTTACAGGTGACGCAGTCGGCAGTTAAGAGCCTGGGGCCAGATTCACGAAAGCACTTACGCAAGCACTTACGAACCTATACATCTTTTCTCAATCTTTGGCGGCTTTGTTTACAATTATTAAACAGTTAATGAGCTCGGAAGCACCAGGAGGCTGTTTATAACAATAACAACAGTTGATTGGGAAGTTTTCACGCTTGTAAACTGTTTAATAAATGTAACCAAAGCCGTCGAAGATTGCGGAAAGATGTATACGTTCGTAAGTGCTTGCGTAAGTACTTTCGTGAATCTGGCCCCTGGTTGGCCATCGGCGGAGGCCAGCGTCGTCCACATTACCTGACAGCTGGTGATCCTTAATTGTATAGTGACCTGCGCTTAATGTATTAGCAATGTTTGGTGAGGTAAACAAGTATTATTATTATTATTATTATTATTATTATTATTATTATTATTATTATTATTATTATCTTCACATATAGCCGTGCACTACGAGGTTTGGACACTACGCCATTAAGGTCAATTATCAAATGTCATTTGTTAGGGAATCTGAGGTTAATTTATGTTAGCTCTATCGAACAAATTTATGCATTTTCGTGCAATTCCAACAGTTGTAAAATTCACGTTCCTTCGAGTCTATTTCGTCATTGTTTATATTACAACTCGTATATCTGAGATAAACTGCAACTCTGTCGCAATACTTTATTGAATTTAGAACAACAAAAATATTTTGTTTTATCAGTTCACATGATCTCACATCATTGTAATGTTACTCTTCCGCAGCAGAAGTATGTGTCTTTGTTCTTTCACCAAGGTCGTCTCCCTTCCCCCTACTCTCTCTCTCTCTCTCTCTCTCTCTCTCTCTCTCTCTCTCTCTCTCTCTCTCTCTCTCTCTCTCTCTCTCTCTCTCTCTCTCTCTCTCTCTCTCTCTCACACATACAGTTTCTAAAGCTTCTGTAATCGACAGAGATGCTAGAATCAACAATACATGAAAAAGCTAAACTAAACAAGTTTAGAACCGAGTGATTGGTACCAAACAAGATATATAAGTATTAGGTGGAAGAGGGCGTGAGCAGCTGGACACCCTCATAAATACTGTCAAGCAGTATCCTCCCCCGCGATAGCAGCGACATAGTAGGAACTGACGATTTAAATTCGAGCTCAGCACGCAGTATATCCCGTCACGACCAAAGAATACATTCACTCCAAAACAAATCTACCACTTACGGGCTATTCGTGCCCTTGCCACCTCTAGGGTGGCTTAATCTTCATCAAGCAATCAAGAAAGTGAGCAGAGACTGTGATCTCTGCCGTCCTTGTGAGCTTCTGTAGGGGGTCCTCTTGACCAGAATACACTGAGCGAGTAGACCGTCAAGGGTCCCGGGGGATAGACCGAGCCTCACGCCGGAGTACAGGTGAACACAACATCATCAGCGGAGTATGCAATGCTGTCAAGTATCTGGATGTCCTGCAGGGCCATGGTAAAGAAGATTTTCTAACACTATGCATAACTTGTATATAGAATATAGATCTCCAGCGTGGAGTCCCCCACCTAAAGCATCATATGAAATCATGTTAGACAACTATTAACTGAGGGAACGAGGCACTATTCTATTATGGTGGTAGAGAGCAGCTGGATTGAGCTAGAGAGACTTGAAGCTCACTCCACATGCAGCTTCAGGAGAAGATAGGCTAGGAAACACGAGGATCGAGACCCCATGCACTAAACTACTGTATATATACAATTACACACAAGACGGGACCCAGGAGCTGGCGCTCGTATAAGCAAGCGCAGTTAGAGACAAGTACACAAGCAAACCCCAGCTGGCAAACAATGGCATCACACCATATAAACATTACCCCGTTCTGCCATTATCCAACCGAGACACGAGCTCTAAGTTGGCACCAGTGTGTCTATTTCTGATCCTCCGATCTGGCACCAGTGAGCCGGATAGAGACTTTATCCCCCCCCCCTCAACCTTATACCTCTCGTGCGTTTGTTTCTCACTATGGCAACTAGGATTGCCACCCTCCCCTCTGCCTCCCACGAGCCACTAGCATAGTAAGTATAGCTGAGATTAGCTGAGGGTGTCTTGAGGGGGTTCAGGAGGCAACCAGCAAGCAAGGAAGAAGGAGGAAGTCTGCAGGGTAGGAGTTTTCTTGGCAGCGGGTCACTGTTATGTCGGAGGGAGGACACCACTGGTCTTCTAAATCATTTTGTTATGGTTCGTTGACGTTCAGAGTCTGTAATGGTTGGTGCTTGGGAAGCTGCTTTGAGAGTGTGTGTGTGTGTGTGTGCGTGTGTGTGTGTGTGTGTGTGTATGTGTGTGTGTGTGTGTGTGTGTGTGTGTGTGTGTGTGTGTGTGTGTGTGTGTGTGTGTGTGTGTGTGTGTGTGTGTGTGTGTGTGTGTGTGTGTGTGTGTGTGTGTGTGTGTGTGTGTGTGTGTGTGTGTGTGTGTGTGTGTGTGTGTGTGTGTGTGTGTGTGTGTGTGTGCGTGTGTGTGTGTGTGTGTGTGTATGTGTGTGTGTGTGTGTGTGTGTGTGTGTGTGTGTGTGTGTGTGTGTGTGTGTGTGTGTGTGTGTGTGTGTGTGTGTGTGTGTGTGTGTGTGTGTGTGTCCATTCCTGTGTACAGATACATAGACGTGTTCACATGTGTTTAGTGTGGATGTTTAGAGTGAGAGAGAGAGAGCGAGAGAGAGAGAGAGAGAGAGAGAGAGAGAGAGAGAGAGAGAGAGAGAGAGAGAGAGAGAGAGAGAGAGACGGTGCCCCCTCCCCTTGTCTTTCCCCCTGGGAAAGACAAGGGGAGGGGGCGGCGCGCCATGAGAGCGTGCAGGACGGGGGGCAGCCTCGACCCAGATGCCCTGCTGAGACAGCCAGTACCCGGGGCGTGCCCCCTCAAGGCTCAGTCTCCCCGCGCTCGCTGCCCGTGACCCACGCCACACACACACGCCCGCGCGCCCCCGCACACCTTAGAAACACGCCCACAACTCCAGCAGGAGGAGGAGGAGGAGGAGGGGAAAGAAGGACCCTTACGAAAGGGGAACGAGAAAGTGAAAGAACGCAAAATAATATTGAAAAAAAAAGATCGACTTACGAAAAAAGTTCGAATTACCACTGAAGTTTTGTTCGTTAGCCAAGGGACGCGGGTGACGTCCACCGCAGGGGGGGGGGAGGGGAGAGTGCCAGTGTCTTGGCACTCTGGGGAATAAAGAGTCATTACGAGTGCTACCTATATGATTGTTAGTGGCCCCGTGTGTCCGTAGAGGTCATTACCATTGTGAACAACCAGGTTCTTAGTTCCCTTGTGTGTGTCAGTCCTTCGAGATCATTAGCAGTCTGATCTACGAGACTGTTAGTGCCCTCAGGGTGTCCCAAGCAAGCGTATACAGGTGACGACACTGCAGAAAGGAGCTACAGGCATCATCTTCTCTACACGCTGAAGAGTCTCGCCTTACCTTGGTCTCGAGGTAAGATCTTAAGTATTTCATGATATCGAACTTAATTCTATTTTATTAAAGTAGAATTGCGGTCGTAGGTTGTGAGGGGTCACTATACCTGGTATGTGGTCACTATACCTGGTATGAGGAGGTCACTATACCTGGTATGTGGGTCACTATACCTGGTAGTAGGGGGTCACTATACCTGGTATGTGGGTCACTATACCTGGTAGTAGGGGGTCACTATACCTGGTATGTGGGTCACTATGCCTGGTATTAGGGGGGTCACTATACCTGGTATGTGGGTCACTATACCTGGTAGTAGGGGGTCACTATACCTGGTATGTGGGTCACTATGCTTGGTATGAGGGGGTCACTATACCTGGTATGTGGGTCACTATACCTGGTATGAGGGTCACTATACGTGGTATGACGGGTCACTATACCTGGTATGAGTGGGTCACTATACCTGGTATGTGGGTCACTATACCTGGTATGAGGAGGTCACTATACCTGGTATGTGGGTTACTATACCTGGTAGTAGGGGGTCACTATACCTGGTATGTGGGTCACTATACCTGGTAGTAGGGGGTCACTATACCTGGTATGTGGGTCACTATGCCTGGTATTAGGGGGGTCACTATACCTGGTATGTGGGTCACTATACCTGGTAGTAGGGGGTCACTATACCTGGTATGTGGGTCACTATGCTTGGTATGAGGGGGTCACTATACCTGGTATGTGGGTCACTATACCTGGTATGAGGGTCACTATACGTGGTATGACGGGTCACTATACCTGGTATGAGTGGGTCACTATACCTGGTATGTGGGTCACTATGCCTGGTATGAGGGGGTCACTATACCTGGTATGTGGGTCACTATGCCTGGTATGAGGGGGTCACTATACCTGGTATGAGGGGTCACTATACCTGGTATGAGGGTCACTATACGTGGTATGACGGGTCACTATACCTGGTATGAGGGGGTCACTATACCTGGTATGGGGGGGTCACTATACCTGGTATGAGGGGTCACTATACCTGGCATGATGGGTCACTATACCAAGTATGAGGGGTCACTATACCTGGTATGAGGGGTCACTATACCTGGCATGAGGGGTCACTATACCAAGTATGAGGGGTCACTATACCTGGTATGAGGGGTCACTATACCTGGCATGAGGGGTAGCTACAGTATTCATTAGTTTTAGTGTTAACTTTTAGTGTTTACTATTTCTCAGTGTAAACTACTGAGTCACTAGTAGACTAAGATGAGTTTTCCATGGAAGCAGATCAGTCAGTACACTCAGTTGTTGTTGTTATAGATTCAACTACTCGGAACAAGTTCCAAGTAGCACGGGCTATGGTGAGCCCGTAGTGGACTTACCTGACACAGAAGCGGTGCTGTGTCCTTGGATATGGAATACTCAGCTCACCAGTGGTTTATATGGTGTTGCAGTGTTTTGTTTATTTCGCGAATGGCAACAACATGGGCCCACGAGAGGTCCTCAACACATATGGACAACACAACACACATATCAACACAACTCCATCCATGTGTACTCTCGCCGGCACTCATCACTCATCAAGAGGAAGTAACCTTTGGAAACTATGCTAGATAGAGCTACGAAGATCGTCATAATAGCATATAAATGGATTAAAATGTAAAATCTAGGACTCGAAACGAATCTGGAACCGCCTACGAGAACGTCAACATTACCCGCGGACCTAGTAGCCGAGATCTCCATTATAGGTTCCAAGAACCATGCAGGGTTCTTGGAACCCTGTATGGTTCATGGGAAGCCATGAAATATGTAAGTCAACTCTACTGAACAAACCTGAGCAGCCTCTAGTGCACAATAGCCTACTGTCACTTCGCCAACTACAACATAAATGATCGATTTGGCAAATTGGCACAAATTGGCACCGCAGGAACAACTAGGCTATTAACAATGATAAACACGTGAGGACAATGCCAGGACCAGGATCCATTAAGCATTTCCACAGTCATTTACGAAACCTGTATATCTTTCCTGGAATCATGGCAGGTTGGTTTACCTTTATGAAGCAGTTTCAGAGCTTCGGATCGTCACATCCCACGGTTATTATTGTTATGAGGAACCTCGTTGTGCTTCTGACCTCATAAACTGTAAAAAACAAGATGAACAGGTTTCGTAAATGACTGCGTAAATGCTTGACGAATCCTGGTCTTGATGTGAGGCTTATATACGTACGTGCGTGCTTCTCCTTAGATGAAATATTATTATTATTGTTATTACTATTATTATTATTAACTATAATAACAATACACAGAGAAATCACATTTCTCTGTGGAATTGGCTTCCACTGAAGTCCTCATTCCCGAGGCTTCCACCGAAGCCTCAGGAATCCTCGAGGGTGCAGTAGTACCCCAGGTTGCAATTTTTTTACCATGTTTACCTCACCTCTTATGGTGAGGTGGTTAGGTGACATAGGGGAATATTAATAAGGTATTAAATGTATCAACATCGAGTGTTGACATGTTGGCAACTTATGTTCCTCTGGTTGCTTCTGTTCCTGTTGAGAGTCATTCAGTCTGGCTTCTGTATTGGTCCGGGGTCTTGAAGAGGGGGGAGTGTAATTGTACATTAGCTGGTTATTAATTGCTGGTGATATATATATATATATATATATATATATATATATATATATATATATATATATATATATATATATATATATATATATACTTATGTGTGTATATCACGAAAATAAACACGTGATTAAGAATGTGACAATGTCAGACCACGGAGGAAAATGAAACAGGAATTTCCTTAAGTACTTTCGTATATTAAATACATCTTCAGAAGGAATGATGTACTTAAAAAAGTACTTAAGGAAATTCCTGTTTCATTTTCCTCCGTGGTCTGACATTGTCATATATACTTATGTGTGTATATCACGAAAATAAACACGTTATTAAAAATGTGACAGTGTCAGACCACGGAGGAAAACTGAAACAGGAATTTCCTTAGGTACTTTCGTATATTAATACATCTTCAGATATATATATACATATATATATATATATGTGTGTATATCACGAAAATAAACACGTGATTAATGTATATATATAATGTATATATATATATATATATATTTATATATATATATATATATATATATACATATATATATATATATATATATATATATATATATATATATATATATATATATATATATATATATATATATATAATGACAAGGGCGATGATTGTCAAAATAATAATAAATTATAATCGTTTCTGTTACCATCATTGATATTAGAACTGCATTTTACAAATATTGTTAATATTAGTATTATCAATTAACAAGGCCTCCCCTAGACCCATCCCTAGACTGACGCATGTTGAGAGACAATGCATGACGATTAATATACAAGTGATACAAAGTCATCAGTAACGACTGTTTCTCTTCGTTTGTCTTTAAAATAAGCCGTTCGGAGGTCCGGAAATTCTCCCGCCTCAGGGAAGGAAATCTGGGAAATACTTCTGTGATTCACCCTCTGGCGCCACGGACAAAAAACAAATGTTTCACTTTCCCGAGGAAAACACAGGCTTTAGCGCACTTGACACGACTGAAGACTCGATGTAGAGCATTTATTACCAGTCGTGAAGGACAGGAAGAGAGAGGGAGGGATGAGAGAGGGATACAAGGAGAGAGTAGGAGCAGGGAGGAAAGAAGATAGAAGAGAAAGGAGAGGTTACGAAGAAAGAGAGGGAAGGCAGGAAAGTTAGTAAGTTTATATACAACGTTCCTTATTTACACAGGTTGGCCGCAGAGGTAAATTGTGTGACTCAGCCTTGCTCGTGGTTTGTATGTATTCTCGTCTAGATATACTCACACTGAAAGGTCGAGCTTCAACTCCTAACCCCCACCTTCCAACTGTTGGTTGGAAGATTACGTCTGTGTATTCACCTAGTTGTATTCACCTAGTTGTGCTTGCGGGGGTTGAGCTTTGCTCTTTCGGCCCGCCTCTCAGTTGTCAATCAACTATTACTAACTACTATTTTTTTTCACACACACACCAAGGAAGCAGCCCGTAACAGCTGTCTAACTCTCAGGTACTTATTTACTGCTAGGTAACAGTGGCATCTGGGTGAAAGAAACTTTGTCCATTTGTCTCTGCCAGCGCCGGGAATCGAACCCGGGCCACAGGATTACTAGTCTCGCGGTCCGTCCACTCAGCTACCAGCCCCCCCCCCTCCCACACACACACTGTGTATGTGTGTGTTGACTGTCTACCCATTCCACATTGTACAGCATAACGGTATAAACACTAGGGGTGCCTCCTCCCTCCCAGTGGCAGCAAAGGTGATGTTGATCCGTGACTCGACAGACAGCTGTTTACACGAGGCTAGACCTACAGAAGTGGTGTGGACACACACACACACACACACACACACACACACACACACACACACACACACACACACACACACACACACACCGGGGAGCTGGTGGCTGAGTGGACAGCGCTCTAGGCTCGTGGACCTAGGGACCGGGGTTCGATCCTCGCAGCCGGCGGAAACAGATGAGCAGAGTTTCCTTCACCCTAATGCACTGTTACCTAGCAGTAAATAGGTACCTAGGCGTTAGACAGCTGCTACGGACTGCTTCCTGGGTGTGTGTATGGGGGGGGGGGAATAGTTAGTAGTTAGTAACAGTTGATTGATTGACAGTTGAGAGGTGGGCCGAAAGAGCAGAGCTCAACCCCTGCAAGCACAACTAGGTGAATACAACTAGATGAATACACACACTCCTCGGCCTCCTTGCTTGTACCATCAAACGCACCCCTCGGCCTCCTTGCTTGCCCCAACAAACGCACCTCCTTGGCTCTCCTGGCTGTGGACATGGTGGTCAACTCCACCAGAGATATACATGCTCACCACTTTACTTATTTGTTTATGTACAAAGAAGTTAGAGTATCTGATGATTTATTATTGTTTCCCACTGTATTTGGTGGCATAGGGCTCTTCCCTCCCCA